TTTTGCTCAATTTATATATGCTCAAGATGATACTGATGTTAATGGTCAGACAATGCTTGAATCTCCAACACAACATCGTCAAATGAAATTGTTCTCCTCAAAGGAACGGAGAAAGTCTACACATCCTAAGAATGATCCTTATTGGGTTATACAAACTGTAAATTTTTTAATTTAATGAATTGGATTGTTATAGTAATTATAGTAACTATAGTAATTATAATAATTATATATTAATATTTTATAAATCCTTTTTAATTACCAACTGAATTTAAACCTAAAATTAAAGATATTGTTCCTACTGAAAATCCATATTCCTATATGGGAACTCTTCTAGCTTTGAACATTGCTGATCTTCACCATGCATTCTCTGTGCCTCATACTATTCGAATCACAGGTGTTCAAAATAGACACAAGAATCATTTTTTTAAAAGTACATCTAGTTCTTTTAAATCAACAAATAAAAATGGAACTTTTCTTTTTAAAGATAACTAAAAGTGGTAAACTTGAAAGAAAGGTTGATTTAATAGATGGTAAAAAGAAGACTGGTTTAAGAAGTTGGAGAATATATGGTGTAATATTAAGTGGTAGCCAGCTAATGTTCTTTAAAGATGAAACAGTGTTTACTACACAGATGAAAAAGTTGAAAAATTTAGAGGTTTGTTTATCTAAATATTTTATTATACTAGGAAACAGAATCTGTTAAAAGTCCGAAGCAATAAATATTAAATATAATTGTTTAAATTTTTTATATAATATATATTTTTTAAAAAAAAATAATAGTAAATAATAAAAAAAACTATATAATAATATAATAACCAATAAAAAAAACTATATAATAATATAATAACTAATAAAGAAACATTTAATAACAATAATTTAAAAGAAAAACAATAATCTAATAATAAAAAAAAAATAGAATAAAAAAAAATAAGTTAAACTAAACTAAGTAAAAAAAAAAGTATACATAAAAGAAAAAAATAATTTAAGCAAATATCTAAAAAAAAAGCAATCAAATTTAACTAAAAAAACCCAATTATTTAATATAGTAGTAATCATTACAAGTATCATGTGAACATAATAAGCCAATTGTATACATATCTATGTTTATTATTGTTAACACTATATAATAACTATCTAATTCAATTAATTAGTATATAGGTCTTTGCCTTGAAAATCAATCTCCAACATTTCTGATCAAGTTAATTCGGACAAAAACAAATCTATATATTAGTTTATGTTTATATTTAAATCTCTTTTTGCCTTTATTGATTCGAAACTTTATTCTATAAGCTATTGAACCATAAAGACAAAAGGGTTTACATATAAACATGAATTAATACACGGCTTTGTTTTTGTCCGAATTAGGCTGGTCGGAATGTCAGAAGGTGATTTTCAAGGCAAAGACCATATAAGTACAATATTCGGTTTTTTAGCAGCAAATCAAATCAGGATAAATCCAACACTAACAAACATAACCCTATCTAATCACTTATACCATTACAGAACCTAAGCAACGAAGGAGTGACAAAAGAAAAAAAGAAAATTAACGCCACTAACCACGAAAGAAGGAATATCGCACCAACGACGAAATAGACGACACAAAAGCGATGCTGAAATGGACAAAGCAAAGGCGACGAAGAGGTAGACGACAATAGCGATTAAATAGAGGAAAAAAAAAGAGTCTATTAGTATATATGATAACGATAATAAAAAGGTAAATAAAGTGATCGACTATTACATTAAAAAAATATAAACTTCAGTTTTAAAATGGTTACCCATTTTAGTATAAAATATTATCTTATTTTTAAAATTTAGATAACATCTAATTATATCACCAGTAGTATATCCAGGGGGATCTGAAAAACCCACCACTTTCTGAATAAAATGAATATCCGCCGTCACCATGGAATGTGGTTACAAATTTCAACATGGTATTGGTGTAAAAAAATACGAAAAAAGGCTTTTGAATATTATGAGAACAGCTGAGCTAGGAAGTAAGAAAGGAATGAATTGGGTTAGAAAATGTTATGATTATGAAATTGAGGTAGAAATAAATTACCAGAAAGCGTTTGAATTGTAAGGAATCCGCTGATCTGGATAATGGTATTGGAATATGTAACCTGAGTCAAGAGAGAAGAGGAGATGATCAAGATTATAATAAAGCATTTGTATACTTTGAAAAATCTGCTAATATGGGTGGTGAAGCGGCAATTATTAACCTTGCTCGATGGTATCGTAATGGTATTGGTATAAAGAGAGATATTCAGAAGGCAAATTACTGGTACACAAAATATAGAAGTAATTTGAAGACAAATAAATCACTGAATCATATCAACGCTGAACTTAAGAGAATATTAAACGAAGAGAAAAAAGGTTCATTACAACAAAATCTAATCTTGTACAAGTATTACAATTGGAATGGATAAAATAAAAAATTTGCTATACCAGACAATGAGCATATTATTTATATAATTTGAATCATCAATTTTTTTATTGCTTTGGTTTGTACAATATCCGATTCGAATCATTTTATTAAGAAAATAGATTATAAAAATTAATTGAACAAAAGGTGATGTTTATGGTACGAAATAATTTATATTAATATTTTCTCACCTTTTGTGTTAGCAACTAATCGAATTTCCTAACTCTGCTATTTTCATATAATATTCATTTTGTCTTTCTTAACACTAATACTATAGTGATGATTGTAAACAAGATCGCGAATTTGTTCAGAGTTAATTTTTTTTTATTAAAGAATGCATACACTAAATAAGATACAACTGAAGCGTATCGGCAGTATTATTATTACCCATTTTTTCCTTTGTTTATGATTTTAGTTTCAATCCCACATTCTGAAGAGATTGGTTTGTTTGCTCGAACAATTACAGCTTCAAAGTCATCGTGATCTTTAATTAAAAGGTTTTTTAATAAATTAAACTAATGATTATGTTTCTACGTAATACTGTACTGCAAATATTCGATTAAATCAAATTGATTACGGGTGTGTTTTGTTGGATTAGACGTGGTATTATGTGTAGTCCATTCTATTAGGTAATTACGTGGCATGACAGACACTATCACGGGATCTGACAGATTTCAAGTGTCTAGAAGTATAGTGTTCTTAGCTATGCTTCGGACAATAATATATATGAATTTATATATCAAAATATATATAATTTATATATTCTATATATATACTGTATATCGATATCAATATGATTTACTTAATTAATTAACATTAATTTACTTTCAGGAATCTGCAATATTACCTGTTTTAAAACCAGATGTAATACTTATGACTGCAGATTCTGTAGCAGTATATGATAAA